CGGCAGCTGGCGCCCCCGCCTGCACGGCCGTCAATGGGCCATAAATGGGGTGACATCATCAGGCACCCCATGATGTCATCATCAGGCACCATTGAAGGCGGCGCCTTAAGTCACAGGCTGCCCTTGCACACAAGATAAACTTCTGTGGAACTTTATCTGGAGTAGTGCTTTCTGTCTTCCCCAATTGTGACAATTTCAAATTTCAGTTAAAAGGGGGAGGGGTAATTCTCTTTCCCCATTTTTCATCTGGCTATCCTAAAACACCCACTGCTCAGGCCAGGTGGACCAATGCTGAACTGAACTAGGCTGCAGACATAGTGAGTTCGGCACTAATTCATACGCCCCTCTGGTCGACCGTATGTCATCTTCCTAGAAAAGACAAGGCTTGGATTTCACTGTGCAGCAGAAATAGATGTATAGATCCAGAACTTACTTTTTTTCAACACCTCTCTCAGAGTAATTCTTCGCCCTCCCACAACGCGCTTCATCCAAGTTGTCTGCCGCTATCCTTGTGGAATGTGCATTAACGGTGTTAGATTTCTCTCTTTCATGTAGATCGTTGGAACAGAACTGTGTCAAGGACGAGATTTCCCTTCTGGTGGAACAGGAGTACTTGAGCCTTACCCAGGAGAACATTAGCAAGACAGAAATGCCAGGCTTAGAAGGAGGGGAAAAAACCGCCTTGACTTTAAATCAGAGTTCTTCAAACAACAGCCTTCTCCTGCTTTCCGATAGGGACCAGTTGCTAGAGGAAACAGAAGCAGTAGAAAGCATGTACAGAGCAATGATGGGGAGCAAAGAAAGGGAGATGAAACTAAGATCTCTCTGCGACTCTCAGCTTTCTACAAAATCCACCATCACGGGGATTTTGCGCCCCGCAAAAAGCACATGCAAGACTGCTAAAGGGGTGGACAGTGGTAACCCAGGGGCTTCCAACAAAGACAGCAGTAAGTCACTGGCGCAGTGTCCAATGAAACACACAGAGGCTGCCAAAGCGCCAGATAACCCAATGGCAGTAGAGGAAACCAGGCTGACCAAGGACTACAAAGGACTGCAAAATCACATGATGAGTTCACCCATCCATAAGGAGAGCGCAGGGATGCTACCACCTTCCACAACAGCAGAAAGCCAAGCGATGGGGCAGAAGAAGCAGCTCCCAGTATTTGCCAAGATCTGTTCAAAACCTGATCCTGACTCAGTTACCGAGGGACTTCAGAACACAGGTATGTGTGGGTGGGGGAAGAGCAATTGAGGTGGAGGGACGGAATTAAATGCAGCCGGCTTTGTATGGGAAGGGACCTCCTGGGTCACATTCATTCTTCTGTGATTACAGACCACAGCTGTTCAGTTAAGGTCATAATTCAAAATGATCTGGGCAAGCTGGAGAAATGGTCTGAGGTAAACAGGATGAAGTTCAACGAGGACAAATGCAAAGTGCTCCACTTAGGAAGGAACAATCCGTTTCACACACAGAATGGGAAGCGACTGTCTAGGAAGGAGTCCTGCAGAAAGGGATCTAGGGGGCACAGGGGACCACAAGCTAAATAGGAGTCAACAGTGTGACACTGTTGCAAAAAAAAGCAAACTTCATTGTGGGATGTATAAATAGGAGTGTTGTAAGCAAAACACAAGAAGTCGTTCTTCCACTCTACTCAGCGCTGATTAGGCCTCAATTGGAGTATTGTCCAGTTCTGGGCACCACACTTCAAGAAAGACTTGGAGACGGTCCAAAGAAGAGCGACAAAAATGATTAAAGGTCTAGAAAACATTACCTGTGAGGAAAGACTGAAATAACTGGGTGATTAGTTTAGAAAAGAGAAGACTGAGAGGGGACATGACAGCAGTTTTCAAGTACCTAAAAAGTGTTGCAAGAAGGGGGGTGGGAAATTGTTCTCCTTGACCTCTGATGACCAAACAAGGAGCAATGGGCTTAAATTGCAGCAAGGGATGTTTAGGTTGGACATTAGGAAAAAGTTCCTAACTGTCAGGGTGGAATAAATTGCCTAGGGAGATTGTGGAGTCTCCATCACTGGAGATATTTAAGAGCAGGTTAGATAGACTCTCTCAGGGATGATCTAGATGGTGCTTGGTCCTGCCATGAGGGCAGGGGACTGGACTTGATGACCTTGTGAGATCCTTTCCAGTTCTAGTGTTCTATGATTCAGTGGTTCTTAACCTGATCCTCATTTCCATATCAGGATCAGCTCCCAGGATACTCCCTGTCATCTGGCAGGGATCTATGCAATACCCTTCTCCCACTCAACAATATGGTAGGGTGGCCCTAATACTGAGAAACCATTGATTGGTGGATATGGGTGGTAGCTTTTTAAAGAAGCCAACTTGAACACCTGTGTGGAATTGTCTTCAGCTCTGCAGCACACCAGGCCAGCCAGGCCAGGAATAAATCTTGCAGGTGTCTTTTTCCTTATGTATCAGCCAGGGTACAATTTTCAAGGCAGGCTAACCTGAGACAATCAAGGAGCTTAGTTTACTGCCAAGGGAAAACAACAGGAATCTTTCTATTGACTTTAACAAGCATTGATTAGGTCCATAATGTATTATCTCCCACGCTGTGAAGGGAGAGCTGGCTCCCATTGGCCCAAGGTTTCCCAAATTAATTCAAATATTTTGGGGTAGCCATAGTTTGTTCAAGACCCAACCTAAGACATCTTAAAAGAGGCCAGAAAATACTGAGCTTCCATCCTCTGGAATGCCCTATAAGATCTCTCAGAATGGGCACTGATCATCAATTGTCTATTTTGAAAATTTTGGCCCAGGTGTATTGCAACCGAGAGATGCTAAAAAGTTCAGTGCAAACTAAAAGCTAGTCAGTTTTTTTCCTAACCTTAAAGAGGTTTGAATGTAGTGCTAAGGGTCTTGTTCCATTTTTACTCTGTCTGAACCTTTTCATTCATCCTTATGACTCAGACAAATTTAATTCCAAGTCTAGTAGTGAGTGGGTGGATAGCAGCGTTCCCTGTAAGCCAAGCGCTTAGGCGGCAATGAAAGACAGATTCAAATGCCACCAAGCTGATTAACACCCACAGTGCCCATAGCTGGCAACATGTGTTTCAATTAGTGATTCACTTCTGCGCATTCCTTGGTGCGTGTAACAAAATTTATTCCACACAGGGATGGAAAAAATTAAAGGGAACACTGGTGGACAGGCCTACTAATTAGAGAATTTAAAGGGTTGAATTTGGGTCTCAATACACTGGAAATAGCCAAGATCTTAAGTAAATTTAGTTTTGTGGGCAAAGCACACTCTTTTAAGTTTGGCCAATCTACACAGGCAAAGAAAAGCACAGTGTGTCTGTTCAATAATGTGTTTAACCCTCTTCTATTTTACAGTAACTACGGCAGCGTCAGATAAGAACAATCTCAAATACAATGGGAATGTTTTCACCCCGCGTTTTTCTACCACTTCAGCGACTACACCCTTAAACCAGCCAGTGTGGCTCAGTCTAAACTATCCTCCGCCCCCCGTCTTTCCAAATCATTCCAACTTTCCACAGTTCCAGGTAAGATAAAAATAAGCCTATCCCTTCTTATTTGACATTGCAGGCTCGTCTAGACGACATTCCTCTGTCGAAAGAGGAATGTAAATGAGCCCGATTGAACGTGCAAATGAAGCGCGGCCTTAAATATCCCATGCTTCATTTACATATTCATGTCTGAGCGCTTTTTTGAAAAAGGGTTTTTCGAAAGTGAAAGTGCAGTCTAGATACAGTTCTTTCGAGGAAAAAAAACCCTTTTTCAAAAGATCCCGTACTCCTAATTTTTTCAGGAGTATGGGGTCTTTTGAAAAAGGGTGGGGTTTTTTTTTTGAAAGAACCACATCTAGACTGAGCTTTCACTTTTGAAAAACTCTTTTTCGAAACAGCGATCAGACGGGAATATGCAAATGAAGCATGGGATATTTAAATCCGCGCTTCATTTGCACGTTCAATCGGGCTCATTTACATTCCTCTTTCGACAGAGGAATGTCGTCTAGATGAGCCTTGTCAGATCTAAATCTGGCAAGCAAGAGTTGGCAAGCACCACTGCTCCAACACCTACTTTTTTGCTTTGTACCGTTGGAAAGATCGGAAAGCAACTGGAGCGCTCTCCAACTCGGAGTGCTTCCAAACTAAAGGGGAAGAAATTTGGGTGGCAAAGCAAAACATACAAAGAACAAGCTGCCAAATGCATCGGGGTGCTTGTGCGTCACGGGGAGAGAGCTGACTTTATGAGACACAGAGTCATGGCTGACTGTTCTCTGAACCCATTCATAGGTTAACCCCAGTTTACATTTGCTAGGATCCCCAAATGGATTTTTGAGGCAACTGCCATGTTTAAAGACAATGATGCCGAAACTGGGGTTCCCTGGACAGCCTTCGTTTAGCTTCCTTGCGTGTATACATGACTAGATTTAGCCAGTGCTGCTGGGTCCTTACCTCAAACCATTTTTGGTTTTCTTCATTTAAATCATAGCGCTGGGGTGGGGCTGGGGAGAGGGGTTCAGTAGCAGGCTGCCCTGGGGAGAGAGGACAACCCCAGCCCTCTCTCACTGCAGCAGCGTGGGGCCAGGTGCGAAGCACCTCTCCATGGCCGCTGCAGCTCCAGTAGGCACAGCTGGGTGAGGGGTACATGGTCCCTGGCTGGGGCAGGTCCAGATCCAGGTTTGTCTGCCCCCTGTGCGCTAGAGTGAGGAATGCAGCAAACTGTGCACTTTCCCCTGGCTCCCTGACAAAGGGGAAAAGCCAGCAATGCTCCCGTATGAATCGGGAGAGCTTCAGCCCCTTCTCCACCCCCGCAATTCCTAAAAGCTGCTTTGGGGGTGGGAGGCTCAGAATTGGGCAGTCTCAGAGTTAGGGCACACCACCAGCCAGTCAGCCCCTTTTGCCTGCCTGGTGATTCTGTCTCTTTTCTGTAGGATTTCATGAGACACAGTCCCATCCAGGCACATGCCATTTTCCTGGCACAACCAAACCCTGACCTTGCTCTTCAGTTATGATAAGAGGAAGCTGAATTTGGTGGTGCTAGCTGCTGCCATTTAGAAGGAATTCTTGAACAGCCAGACACCCAGACAAACTCACAAACGTATAGTAGGTGGCACAGTCTTTAATTCCGTGATCACTGATTATTTTCCCACAGGACCCCTTCCTCATTCAGTTCACGATGCTCTCTCAATGAGCAGCTAAGCAATATGTTGGTTTTCTCCTTGTGCTGTGTGCCACCCGAGACTTTATTTACTGCCCACTTCCACAGTCCAAATCTGAAGCCAGAATTATTGACTTCCTCAGGGGCTTTCTTATTGCACTCGCCACCATAATATCTAGGCGCCACACAAACATGAATGAATTTCTTTTCACAATATCCCCATAAGATCTGGGAGGGATTATGATGGCATGGAGCTAAAGATAAAAATGATCCATTCATTTTGACTGCCCAGTTTGAGACCCCTAAAACTTGATACTTCTGAGCACTTGGAACTAAATAGCTCATCAAAGCACAACTCCCACTGACTTTAACCAGCACCTCTATGATTCAACACCAGGGTCTGAGGTCCAGCATCCAGAAAATGAGGGACACACAATTGACAACCATTGCTGAAAAATTTAAGTGACTTGACTGGCATCCCGTAGGAATTCTATGGCAGAGGCAAGGTTATAACCTAATTTTCCAAGCTGACATTTGACTACTTTAACCACGAGGTTCCTCTTCCTGAAATCCCTTGCCTCATTCAATACGTATGAAAAATATTTTGAATGTATCAGCATTTTCTAGCGGGGAGCAAATGTTCCGCTGGAAGCAAATGCATTGCATTGTACTCTTTTCCTGTCTCTTCACACGTGGAATAGTTTCTTCAGTCACATCCCACCTTCCACCAATCTCATTTCTGAATTTTTCATATTCTCAGCACGTTCCCTGTTCAATCAAACTCTAGATCCCAACCTAGCCCCATGCCAAAGTCTTATCATCCCTCTGCTTTGTTCGCACTCCCTCGTTTTTCTCTAGAGATCTTGCCATGTCTAGCTATTTCTTTCAGGGCAAAAAGGAAAGAGCTAGGATTGCACCCGGCTCTTTTTCTCTGCACTGAACTGTGCCCTTTTGGCATGGAGAGCAGTCGGCCATTCTACAGAGACTAAGTCACTCAGGGCAGAAAGATGCATCTGTTACCCCATGAGCTGAGCCTGCTCTAGCAATCCCACCCACTTGGACATGCAGCTACACATTTAAGGTGAGATTTTCAAAGCTGCCTACAGAAGTTAGGTGCCTGTCTCCCATGGAAAATCAGGGTATGTCTACACTACAGAGTTTTTTCAGAAAAATGGCCTTTTTTTCTGAAAAAACTTGAGTTATGTCCACACTATAATTGTGTTCTTTCAAAAGAAAATCAAAACAGAGGGGGTTTTCTGACATTGCTAATCCTCATTCTACAAGGAAAAGAGCTCTTTTGGAAAAAGGCATGTGTGGATGGGGAAGAGGGAGTTCTTTTGAAAGAAGAGGTGGCCACTCCGTCCATAGTAATCACATCTTAAATGTGAGATTGCTTCCATTCAGTGTGGACGCTATCATTTGAAAAAGCAAATGGCTTTTTCAATGTGCTTTTGCAGTGTATTGCAGTGAACTCCCTTGATCTCCCAAGGTGGGAATTCCGTGGAAAGTCAAGCTAAGGTACATCGACTCCAGCTATGCTATTCACATAGCTGGAATTGTGTATCTTAATTCTACTTTCTCCTGTAATGTGACCTGGCCTTAGTTGACTCTGAAAATCTCACCTGTATGATTAAGTCCTATTGACTGGCCTTAACTAACCCTATTATTTTGTGGGTGCACTTTGGCACTCTCTAATCCACTACAGTTATAGGGTATGTCTACACTACCCTCCTAGTTCGAACTAGGAGGGTAATGTAGGCATACCGCACTTGCAAATGAAGCCCGGGATTTGAATTTCCCGGGCTTCATTTGCATAAGCGGGGAGCCGCCATTTTTAAAACCCCGCTGGTTCGAACCCCGTGCCGCGCGGCTACACGGGGCACGAACTAGGTAGTTCGAACTAGGCTTCCTAGTTCGAACTACCGTTACTCCTCATTTCATTTCTGCATGCTCTTAATTAACCCTTCACTCTTTGAGGTCAATGTGAAGTTGAGCTCGTTACAAAATAGGATGGAAAATGCAGAACCTACACTAGAGATCTGTAATGTAGAGAAGAGATCTAGATTTGTGGAGTCAAAAAGAGCAGAAAGGAATTAACTAAATTCAGCTGAACTCCACTCCCTGGGGCAAATAACACGCTTTTGAAAAGACAAAGGAAACGGAAAATATTGCACAACAGAAGACCCAGTCTGACTGTTTTAAAGTCATGTCTTATGTATTTCAACAGGGCTTGTATCAGCCGAGAGCACGGATCCCCTATCAACAGACGTTACACCCTCCCTTAGGATGCTATTCCAGACAGGTGTGTCGAAATGGTTATAAATACTCTTTCATTTGCAGAACACAGATGCTAAGCACAGCGAATTAGACAGAGCTGTTTGTCATGTGGCATAACTGACTTTGGTCTCTTTGTAAAGAAAGATTTGGGGACCAGGTCTTCAGATGTGTAAATCAGCATTGCTCGAAGGAGGATCATCAGCTGACGTTAGCTAATGGCCTGCCCCCCAACCTCTAATCAAAATGTAGCCAGTTATATATGTTTAGTGTTAAGTTAGGGCAGTCCTTTTTTTTCTTTGTAAAGGACGGTACAATCGGCGTCATGCAATGGTGCGTTTCTATTGTGAGTTAATTTAGGACTCAGAACCCTGGATGAGCTGCAGCGAGATAAGCTATGACAGAAAGAGGCACCACAGAGAGCTGGGATGGCTTGGGATGTCCCCAGGAGAGCTGAGTTCATGTGTATCACTGCAGCTCTTCCGGGCAGACCCAAACTGATTTCTCAAGTTGGGGAGGGAGTGAGGAGAGGGGAGAAAAGCTAAAATATTCATTTTGAAAGGGCAGCAGTCCTGGAGAATTCGGGTGTCCTGCAATATCATCCCAGAGGGGGAAAAAAGAAAGTCGTGTATTTACCCAGTGTTGCTCAGGTCCTTAATGAGGGTCTTTGAGCATGGGGCTGAGAATGTAGGGATGCAGAATTCAGGGGTGGGGGTGAGGAGGAGCTCTGGGATGGGGACTGTGTGTGTGTGTGTGTAGGAGGTGTCAGAGTGGTTAAACACTGGAATAAATTGTCTAGGGGGGTTGTGGAATCTCCATCACTAGAGATATTTAAGAGCAGGTTAGACAGACACCTGTCAGGGATGATCAAGACAGTGCTTGGTCCTGCCATGAGGGCAGGGAACTGGACTTGATGACCTCTCGAGGTCCCTCCCAGTTGTAGTGTTCTATGATTGCCTCTGGGGGGAGGGGCATAACATTTTAACAGATTGACAAGGGGTCCGTATACACGAAAGGTTGGGAACCACCGGTCTAGGAGATCATTTACTTTTCAGCGAACACACGCCTGTCCTAGACAGTCTGAGCGATGCTCTGACACCTCCCACCTTTTACTTCCAAAGAGTTTGCAAGACTTTAAAAAAGGAGGCAGGTACTTTTGTTTGAAAAGGAACCAAGCCAGCCAGTAAATTAGCCAGTACACTAGCCAATCCCCTATGAGCATGCTCTTCAAGGAGGCTTTTGAGGCACAATACACAGCAGCTTTTTCCTCTCCCATTTCTGATCTACAATGGGGTGGCAGGAAGGGGAACGCTACCTCCCCCTTTGATCAACATTTAAGATCTGGGTATATGACATAGCAGACCTTCCTGCAGCCCTCTCCCCCAAAAGGGATATGGCCACCTAGGCTGAATACCCAGCATCAGATCTGAATGACCTCACCCTTTCTTTGTGCGATAAACATTAGCACTTAGGACAAGATGCTCTTGTTGGGTTTGATATCCTTGGCATGTTTTGAGCCATTGATAAGGCTTCTCTAGGAATTCACACACACACACACACACACACACACACACACAATAGCCGATTGTTTCTGCAGTTGATTGTCATAATGTCGTAAGCATCTTGGGGGCTAGATTTTTGGGAGGTGCTAGGCACCCTTTCAACACTTGTGAGATCTGTTGGAGCTGAAGGTTTCATTCATCTGGTCAAAAAATGGTGATGGGGTGGGGGAAATATAATTTTTTCCCCCCAAAATCCTCGTTTTATCAAAGTTGGAAAATTCACTAAGAGAAAACCAACAAAACAAAATTCCAACAAACCCAGTCATTTTAAAAGAGGGGATGTCATGGAATACTTTCCCTTTTTAAATACACTTGAACCTCTTTCATCCGGCAACCCTGTGAAATGGGGTTTGCTGGGTTAAGGATTTTGCCAGGCCAAGGAAGGAGTGAAGGGAGAGCCACTACTCCTCTCCCGCCGGCTAGCATCTGTCACGGGTGTTCCTGAATTTGAGACACCCAGAGTACGGAGGTTACAGTGTATAATTTTTGTATTTCAAAATTTGAAATATTTCATCCATCTCAAGTTCCAACTGCAACCTGCATATCAGGTTGTAAAGGTTTTTATTTCACCAACTTCTTGCTCTTTGTTTCTTTACCCTCTGTAGGTAACTCCATACAACCCACAGCAGATTTTCCGGTCACCTTACACCCCTTTATTGAACTATGTCCCTCTGGTCCAGCCCGGTTATTCATACCAGCAGAGGAACCCATCCAAACCATCTAGCAGCGTACGTGATCCACCAGCAATGGCGGGTGATGGGCCGCAGTACCATTTTTCTCATTCATATGGGTACGTCCACACTGATGTGTGGTCTAGTTCTCATACCATGGGAGGGTTCGGTGAGTTACAGTAAAGCTCCATGAAGCTACTGGAACTAGCTGGAAAATGGGATTTCTGACATTTCAAACAGCTTTTAACACTGAATCAGAACAAAAAAAGTCAACATTTTCAAGAGAACAGAATTTCCAAAGAAGATTGATCTGGAAACATGTATTGAGATCATGTTCAATTGTTTTATTTCTGTAAAGTTGGAACATTATATACTGTAGAAAATTCAATATGAGACCAAACAAATGAAATGAAAATCAAACCCAAATGTTTTACTTGATCTAAAAAAAGTCAAAATGATTCATTTAAATACTGGGCCATCAGGAACATTGAGTATGGCCATGTTCCTGAAAAGTGTTTCGATTTCATCATACCTATAGCATCCAACAGAAAACTGCTTGATCTGTTCCACCCCGGCCGTCACTGCATGTTCTAAGATGAGTTGTCTTCCAGATGCAAAACCATTCATCTTGAGTCTGAATGGCTTAGCTTAAATAAAGGGAAAGTCGTAAGAACATCATAAAAGGGAGCACGGTGTATGCGTGTTTGCAACATCAACCCTGCCTTGCAAAAATGATAGCTGTCCTTATAGAGAGGCAGATTTAGAAATGCAGAGGGTCACTACTAGGAGAACAAAAGATTAATGGTCACATAGCAATGCCCATAAAAATAATGACCAATGTTAAAGTGGAGGTGGAAGTTTTCTGAATTTCTAGGACTTTTTCAATGTATGATACAGTGGTGTGACTCTCTGCACGGGCTCGGTACAAGTTTTTAAAGTCAGGGTGGAGGATAGGACAAAATTAGGGGAGACTTTTGTGAAAAAATATTCTCCCCATTTTTCAAGAGAGGGGCAATCTAAATGTTTTGAATTTCCTTTGTTTGTAGAATTTATGAAGCCTAGCAAGGGCTAGTAACCCAGATCCACAAGTACCTAAAAGGGTGTTACAACGAGGAGTGAGAATAATTATTCTCCTTAATGTCTGAGAATAGGACAAGCAGCAATGAGATTAAATTACAGGGAGGGAGGTTTAGCTTGGACATTAGGAAAAACTTCAGTCAGGGTGGTTAGCCTGGAATAAATTGCCTAGGGAGGTTGTGAAATCTCCATCTTTGGAGATATGTAAGGGCAAGTTAAACAAACACCTGTCAGGGATGGTCTAGATGGTGCTTGGTCCTGTTGTGAGGACAGGGGACTGGATTTGATGAGCTTTTGAGGTTCCTTCTAGTTCTAATGTTCTGTGATTCTATGAAACCTAAACTCCCTGGTGGACTTGTACCGAGCCCGTGCAGAGAGTCACACCACTGCATTTTCACTGCTATTGTTATCCTTAGTTTTACAAATCCAGCCCTAAGAGACATAGGGCTTCCATAGATAGTTTTCTCTCCCCGCCCTGCACACTGCCCCACTGTTGTTACAAACAAGTGGTCCTCTCGCATTTTAACCATTGTGTCTGAGGTACATATACCATAAATAAAATGAAATGTAACTGATATACAGACTCATGAGAGTTTTAAAGGGATTTAGATGTTTAATAATGCAGATGGGATTTTCAAAAGCATCTAGCTGCACCTTTAGGCATCTAAATACCTTTAAAAATCTGGCCCTTAATTGAAGATTTCCTCCTTTTACAAACAAAAAGCTCAAGGGGGGGGGGGGAGGAAACATGGTGCAGGAAATGAAACTGGATTTAATGTGAATGTTTTTCAGGTTTAGTTCTACGCCTGGTGGATCTGTGAGGACAAACCCATATTTCTCTGCCAATGGGAGCGGTATAAACTTTTAGATCATCTGAATTTTTTGATGCATTGTTCAGAGACCACGAAGCTTCAGTCGCTGTTAGGAATTCTGAGGTCAAATAAGGACTGATTTCGTATTTCCCACAGCGCAGATTTCTGTCTACAATGAGCCTACATGACTTATGTGTTAAGAAAAAGCTACACAACAATTCATCCAAAAGAGGAGAGTTTTGTTTAGCGGAACCAAATGAGATTTTTTTTTGTAAGATGGAGAGAAATAATAAAAAAATATTTTATTTATGACAGGTGCCTGAGCTGCTTAAAATTGAATTTTGCTGTAATAAAGATAGCTGATATAAAAAGGATCATGCCCACAAATTTCAGAAGTGATAACTTTAGTCGTGTAATTCAAAGTGAGATTAATTCAGAGGCATTCAATAGTTATGTGACTCAATTCTGGGAGGAAGGTGTGTGTGAAATGCTTGTGTCTCGTATCTAAAACTGTGATACTTATCTACCTTTAGCATTAAGGAAGAAGAAACTAGAATGCCTGTACAAAGAAACTTATTTTACTAGGTTCCCTTTATTTAATTCAGAGTTTCAGGCTGCAAGATTTGAAAGTGAGCTTTTGCCCTTGCGACATAGCTCCCCTTTGGTACTATATCATGAAAACAGCCTGAGGGTGGTAGGCAATCTACAGACAACTATGATGGATGTCTTTCTCCTCTAGTTCAACAATAAGCGGCTAGGTTAAAAGCAGGAAGGACTGGATGGAATTAAGTGGCTTGTTACACTAGAGGTCAGACCAGGTGATTATAATGGTCCCTTCTGGCCTTTAAGAAAAGAAAAAAAAAAAGAGTTTACAATCTGCAATTGTAAGGTCCCGCAACAGATAAAATGCACAAGGACACGGCTATAAAATTACGTGGGTCTTTATCTAAGGCTAGTTTACATAGGGTATGTCTACACTACCCCGCTAGTTAGAACTAGCGGGGTAATGTATGCATACCGCACTTGCTAATGAAGCCCGGGATTTGAATTTCACGAGGAGTAATGGTAGTTCAGAATAGGAACCTAGCCCGAACTACCTAGTTCGAGCCCCGTGTAGCCGCGCTGCACGGGGTTCGAAGCAGCGGGGATTTAAAAATGGCGGCTCCCCGCTTATGCTAATGAAGCCCGGGAAATTCAAATCCCGGGCTTCATTAGCAAGTGCGGTATGCATACATTACCCCGCTAGTTCGAACTAGCGGGGTAGTATAGACATACCCATAGGGAGTTAGACCAGTATATGGTTCTGGCCATATCAACACTTCTAAGAGGAAAGTGCAACCGTGACAGCACCTTTGGGGCAGTGAGGTCTCGGCCCCAGGGCCGGGAGAGAGCTGTTCCAGTGCTCTAGCTAAGCCGCCTCCTTGAGGGGGAGTAACTAACAGCTCTGGGAGCCCATTTACACTGGCGCTTTGCAGTGCAGTAACTTATCGGTGTAGACAGTCCCTAAATGTGACTATAATCAACTACAGTTAGGCTGGGAGAACTCCCCGGCTGTGTCTACATTGGCACCCCTTTCCGGAAAAGGGATGCTAATGTAGACTTTGGAATAGGCAAATCCGCGGGGGATTTAAATATCCCCCGCGGCATTTGCATTAACATGGCTGCCGCTTTTTTCCGGCTTGGGGAAAAGCCAGAGAAAAGCGCCAGTCTAGACGTTATTCTCCGGAAAATAAAGCCTTTTCTGGAGGATTTCTTATTCCTACTTTTAAAACAGCTGGTGGTTCCCTCTAGGCACCGCAGCAGGAGAAGACTTTGCGTGCTCTCCCTGCCCCCAGACCAATCAAGGCTGGGGGAAGAGGGAGCTCAAGAAGTGCCTCACTTCCTGCCTCCACTCTAGAAGGGGCACAAGGCAGCTAGAGAGAACCACCAGCTGTTTTAAAACAGCCGGCATTTCCCTCTGATGCTGTATGCCCCTGGTAGGGGAGGAGACTTCACGTGCTCCTCTGCCCCCGGGTCTCAATGGGCCTAGGGGTGGGGAGCAGCAGGGTGGCTGCGGGCCGGATCCATCGGCTTGGTGGGCCACATCCGGCCCATGGAAGCCGTCCTGCCCACCCTGGTGCTACAGTACAAATGATAAAATAACGGCGCTGCTGCACGACGAGGGGAAGAATGATACATGGAGGGAAAGGCTGATCCAGATCATAACCCCAGTGCAATGGAATGTCAGATTAAGCCCACACTAGGATGGCCTGGGAATTATGTATCTGAGTCTAGACTCATAGTGGAGATTTATTATTACCTGAGATGAAGCTATCCCTCCCCTGTAGCCCATTCCCTCCCTGCCTGTGTGTTTTCAAGACTTGCTCTCTGCAAGGTGGCAAGCACCCTGAGCCCATATTAAATTCAACAAGAGTTAAGTGGTTTTGGCCCCTCTCAGGGCACTAACCCAAAGCTCTTTGGAAGATATTAGACATCTCTCCCTTGTCTTCCACAGTGACTTGGATCAGCCCTGAATACCCTGGGGGCGGTGTCTAGACTGGCAAGTTTTTACGGAAAATCATCTGCTTTTCCGGAAAAACTTGCCAGCTGTCTACACTGGCCACTGAATTTCCGGAAAAGCACTGACGAAAATACTACACTGCTCTGGTTCGGGCAAAAGTCCCCCTTTTTTTGT